GACGTCCGACCAGCGGTGACATTGACTACAATAATAATTGCACTTTCCAAAGTTTTAACAATCATGCATTTAGGAATGTGATTAGTACAATAATTAGCTTCGAACATAAAGAGGTACAAGTGAAATGGAAAATGGAGTGGAGATAAGAAAATGGAACGACATGGTTAAAACAGAAAATGTTATTAGAGCACTCTTGCAAGAATGAAAATACACATTTTTAAAAAATGAAATGTAGATATCTTTAGTACTTACAATTAGAAAGTGGTAATTGGATGGTAAAGCTACGGTAAGCAGACATGTACAGTTTTTATTAGTCTTACTAGCTAATGCATTCTTTACAGTCATGCTTAATGTTTTATCCATTTTGATTTTTATCTAAGAACTTATGAATATTTGATAAAAATTGAAATAAAATTGAATTGAACTGAAATTACCTTCACCAGTGAATTGAGTCCTAACGCAGCAGTAACAGCACCACCCGTTGCACAGAAATACGACGTCAGAAGCGTTTTGTTGGAAACGCTATCACCCGAACGGTTAGTATAATTAACAACAGCATTGAATGACTGATTCAACCATTGCCAAAATATTACAGCACTTGAGGATCTTAAATTCAAATTGGGATGGTACTTAATTCTTTTTACTCATTACAGATCCTGGGAAATTCTCGGAAATTTTTTAATTTCAACTTTGCAAACCAAAACAAATTTTTGTAGAAAAACGAAACCAAAATTTGCAATAAAAACTGAAATTTCATGATGACAGTTAGCAAAGGCCAAAACAACACAAGCAGTTATTTTATTCAAGCCCAGGTCAATCGGTAAAACAGACTGTTTTTCCAGAAATAATAATAAATAGAGATGGTATAATGCACAAGAATTTCAAAAGCCAGTGATTTTATTGTTACTGATGTTTAGCTCGTAAAAAATAACTTTAAAAATAACGACAAACTTATAGAAAGTCAGCATGCCACCAGTCAGGAACATATTACCAGGTACTTGACAGCTCATACGTCCTGGCAAAATCATAAGTTCATTCGTAGTAGGATGATATGCAGAATCGAAGATGTGTTTCGCATGCCATAACTCATCAACCGTCAAATTCTCAGGCACTTTGCGTCCGTGTCTAAAACCTAACTTAATTGAAACTAATTCTCTCACCTTTTGCAACTATTTCAGAACTCTACACAACTGTCACAAGTGCCTACAACCATGAAAGTACTTCATTTTTGCTTTTTTGATAGCTATCATAACTAAATACACATGGAAAAGTGGAAATATGGAAAACTGTTAACAACTTGGTTTTTAATACTTCATGTTTTCAGAAAGACGCATAAGCTAAAACAATGGAAAACTCAAATTAGCTGAAGAATGGATCTAAAAATCAAATGTATTTCCGGATACTTCTTACTGTTGCTACCTCAACGGATATCAACTGTTGTATCACCCCTCTCACTATCCTAATAGCTTTGACGTTGTACGTATATGTGGCCATATAATGTTTGATGTTCCGAACTTTGCCATATTTTTAACGTTTTCAGAAACTGACCACTAAATTTCTAAGACATACTTATAATCTAGGACAATATTTTTTGCTTCTTCCAATCGCTTTCCAGATATAAATAGATTTAATGGATTTGTAGTCACAAAAAAATGACGAGCACGTCCTCCGAATGTCGACTGATCCCATCGTGGTTTCGATATATCGGGCGGATGCTTTAGTTGAGATACCAATTCAGACATTGTTTTCTCGGAACTGAATTAAATTAAATTACGTCCAGCTGATTAAAATTTATGCAAAAAGATAAGCGAATTTTGTATTATAATTAATAATATTGAAAATGGGCTGCACAAAACTTGAGTAACTTACAGTATAGCACGAATATATTAGTTAAGGTAAGAATCATTTAAATCCTACGTTTCTGCCCTATAATGAGTTTCGTTTACATAACTTTCATAACTATCACAGACTATGCATATTCATCAATCTACATCTTTCAACTTTACAATATTCGAATACTGGTATACTTATTACAGTAGAAGTTGAATGGAGTGAAATAGTTTGGTGAGGCAAAATTTACAAAACTTTCGTGATATGAAATGTCTAAGCAGAACTTATACCAGAGTCTTGAATCATCTGAGTGCAAAATAGAGGAATAAATGAGAAGAGCATTATTGATTAAGCTTAATGTCCTCTACTACCAATAATATAAATGTAAGGAAAAAGAGGAATAATTATCACTTCGAGACGCTGACGGAAGCAGAGTTAATAGGACTTCAGTGGTAATATTAAATTTTATCTAGACATATATAAAGAGAGAAAAGAAATGAAAAAATCATACGAATCAGTCATATAGGGTCATCATCTCCGACTGGATAACTCTATAACAACTAATCAATAAGAACTGAAAATGATAGGTTAAGTCAAATAATGAATCGAATTAAATGAATTTGTTTGATATTTGCACAGCAAGAAATATAATTAAGGTTTACTGGAACTCTAGGGAAAATACCAGCATGACAACATCAAAGAAAAACAAAAAACCAGCAAATTACAACTGATGATATGAAATGAGAAAGAAAAGAAGTGAAGGAAGGTAAGGAAATGATAAGAGAACAATGACTTTAATTAGTCGCTGCTAAATAAGCGTTCGCTTGATAAAAAATAGGAAATGGAAATTAACTGAACAATTTGCTAATTCATAAACATTTACAATCATTATGGAATTGTTACATTCTAGGAGTCAAACATATTACTTCAATCTTGACGAAATTTTTAATGTATGAAACACAGCCATAACTGACAGTTTATTTCGATGAGCTTTTTAGAGAGAAAATTAGAAACATCACTTCTTTATAATTATGTGACAAGTTCATTTTAATAAAAAGACTGTCTCAAACAGACAACTAGATGCAATAATTCTTGGTCAGTAATCATATCTATAGAACAAAAAAAAAAGCATCTGAACAAAAAAAGAACTCTCCAACCCATAAAACCCCTACCTACACTTATTCTAAATGAAAAGGAGGAAAATAGACTTGAAAACTGGTAACTTCTATTTTTAAATGATTTAACCATAAGCAGTCTAGCAAGAAAATGTTGAATTACTTATTTTCCAGAATTAAAGTTCACTGATATCTAATTTGAAGATTTAAAACATAAATTTGCAATAGCCAGTTGATGTAAAACAATTCGTCCTCTTGCAATCAGATCTTTTGCCGATTTCGAAAAACTATAATAAACAAACGAGAGAAGAAAATAGCGCATCCCTCGATAGCAAGAATACTGCCCTATTATAATTGCAACTACTTGTTAATCTTAACACCTTTCAAATGACGCTTTGGAATAAATACAATCAAAACAAAAAGATGTTAAACCTAGAACAACAGTATCGATGTTAGTCATCCACATAAAGCCAATAGAATGTAAAGAAAAAGTGAAGAAAAAATGGAGCATCGAAAGGAATTATGGATACAGAAGTGTTTGCATTGCATATATTTATATAAAGATGGCTGGAACAATTAAAATATTTGCAGACAAGCAAACAAGTTATCTCTCTTATAAAATCATTTAAATTTGAGCATTTATTCAAGTGACAAATTAACACAGCCAACATAAAACAAAGCACATTTACTGGAAATAGACACTGAAAAGTAAATTATGAACTTTGCATTCCAGTATTTCAATACTTTATATTTTTTGATGGATTGAAATGTTATATGAATACATCCATCAATTGACATGTAATAAATAATTACGGGTAAGCCACTTTCTTTAACAGTCATACTCGAAGAAATCAATACAACTATTCTAGTACCATGTCCAGTACATTACGCTGACTACAAATTAATACCAGTCTAACACTAAGCATTCAGAAAGAGAACGGAGAAATTCGGTGACAGTAGGCCACATTCGATAAAATGATTGCCGACTTCGAGATTTGAAAATCAAGAAAAAAGAAAAAAAAAAAACAAAGTTCACAAATGTCTCGGAATGCTTACAGTACTTGTTTGCAATTCTGCAATACACTTTTAACAAATATTAAGTAGAAAATACATTAAAAACAAAGTACCCAAAATGCGCGGATGACAACATTTAAATTATAATTTTTACTGTGAGTATACCCCTAACTAGTTGAAGATCCATAAAAACTTTTTAGAAAATATAGGTGAGCAGTAAATCAAACTTGGTGTCAAATTCAGCTGCAACTTACTTATGCTTAACTCTCGGGTTCTCAGCAAAATCATCCACATGTATATTTCTACTGTAACCGATAATTTGGTTATCCTAGAAATACGTCACGTGCAACAGTTAGCACAAAAATCTAAAAAGTCTATCACGGAAGGATAAAAGGTGAAGAAAAAAAGATTTGATTCATCTAAGAGGTGCTTTTTGGCAATGACAACCAGTATCACTAGGTAAAATTGCACTTGCAAAGTGCATATCCTCTGCAAAACGCACGAAATAAAACGCTGCTTACGGACTTATGTCGGAATTTCAAATTTTTAGAAGACAGACAAATAAATGATGGTAAACAGAGAGTGAGGATAACAGTAAGAAAATGAACTGAGGAAAATATGAAGTTGAAGAAGGTAATGAAAAACAAACAATAAAGACTGAGCAATTAAAAAGCTAAGAGGAAAAGCAAACAGCCATATCTTGAATTCTATATTCCGCCGCTACAACAAAACCTGAGGTCAAAATTTAAGATAAATAAGTAATGAAACGAAATGTCGATCAAAAGAGAGTGACAATAGTTAATATCTATAATTATATCACAATAAACGGTATGTTACAGTGAACAGCATATAATCTTGAGCATGTTTCCAAGTTCACGACCAAATCCTCCGATTTTTGAAAATTTTTGAGAAAATTTTTTAATGATAAATTCTTGAATTTCATCATTCTCATTATTACTTACTTTCAATATGAATAAAAGCTCCAAAAAACCAATAAATATACAAATCATCAGTTAGTTTCATGTAGGGAAGTGAAATATATTATTCATTCGTTAACTCGGACCACATCGCATCGTTGATATCATCCTCCAGCTGTTTGAGTTCGTCCTCCAACATCAGTATACCGTATTCTAATTCCTCCCTTTCTTCAGTTCGCAATTTAACTTCACTGAAATTTGAAAGCATTTGTAGCAGCGAATTCCGTCATAACAAATCCACCTTACTTCGTAACAAGAAAATTCACAGGGAAGGAAATTGATGAAACAAAACTTACTTTGTGATGGCATCCAACTTCTGTTTAAATTCATTGATGGCCGCAGTAATTTTCTGCAACTCAGTACGCTCATGTTGTAAACGGTTTGGCCACTCACGTTCCCGTAACGGATTCAGTACAGCTCTTAAATTTTCCTGTTGTCTTTTCAGCTAAAAAAAAAGAAATGGAAATTTTGAGACGTAAATTATGTCGTTTTTCTTATACTTTCCAGAAAGTATGAAAAATGGATGCAGTGAATAGATAGGTTTGTCATTCAGTGATTTCGCATAAAAAACCAAGGTTTTCAATGAACCTTTCGTAGTTGCATGCAATTACTGTTATCATTATAAATAAACTATGTTTCGGGATACAGGGAACAATCTTCCCTATCTAAATTCCACGATTTTTTATGCTCAACAACAATATACTGGAGAGAATTTAACTACAGAAAGTTCAGTATTTTCAAAACTTTAAAGTTTATTGGACCAACATAACATGCATAATCACTTGGATAACTTCTCGTTGTTGGGCATTGTCGACAGCAAGATCCAAACTGGCTAAATGAGCTTTCTGTTGATCGATAATTTGACTCTGATCTTGAATCAGTTCTTCCAAGGCATTAGTACTCAATTTTTCTGCGAAAAACCAAACAATTTGAGAAGGAAAATAGAAAATTAACACATGTTCAGTGTCATGTACTAAATTTGAAAAAGGAAACAAAAATTTCTAAGAATTCACGAAAACATCCACTGATTCAAAATAATGTTAATTCAGTTGGATTAAAAGTTATTCCACGCTTTGGACGAAATTTTTTTGTCAGTTATGGTATAAGATTTTTCTTACACCAATTAGGCAAACTATTTTTGTTAAAAAGGATAATGAGAAGTCACCATGAAATAAATTCAAACTTTCTTTCAAAACAGATAAAAATTGAAATTACAAAACTTACTTATCAAAACACCACCGCTATCCAGACTGATTGGCTGAGACGCTACACTGCTAGAATTGGAATACTTTTACAATTATTCAAGCATAATAAATTGTTTTACTGAAGTTCAACAAGATAATAACTTGTGAGCTGTTGTGCTGTGGGCTATGGACATCACTTACAATGTTAGAACAGGGCTGCCCAGAAAGGTAAAGAATTCAGGGATAAAAAAAATGTGTTTTCTTAAACTGTTTTAAAACAACGAGGATTTACTTAGTAAAACAGCCAGCGATTATGCAGCAATAGTTAACTAACTTAATAAGGCGCGATTGGTCATTGATGGAAATATCAGCCGATTGTATTGGTGTTAATGATGAGAATGGCGTGTTCTGTTTGGATAAAGAAGTAAAACGTTGTTCAATTACTTCATGGTAGGCTGCAATGACCATATAACTTACATAATTTTGGTTTGTCTGAAATTTCTCAAAATTTTGATTTTTTTTTTTTCGGAAACCATTTATGCTCCTAAAATCTTTATTTCAGCCTTACTCATAATGGCAGCGACGTATTGTAGTAAGTGATTGTCATTGTAATATTATCACCTCAAATAATAGTAATTATCATTTCAGCAGTTCTTGTTCTTTTGAGGATACCAGGTTAGTAAGTACCAATATCTAACACAATTAGAAAAAAAGCAGGTGCAATGATTCTATTTATTTTACATAAACAGAATCACTGCAACTATTCAATCATTCCACTTATACTACTGCTTAAACTAACACGATATAATTTACCCGGTGGAGGTGGGCGATTCTTGATTCGTTCAACGGTCACCTCTTGCATGCTGGTTTTTTGGAAGACTGGACGATACGACTGTTCTGCAAATGCACAATAACTTTGGAAGTGGTGCGCAAGAACCTTTAAGTTGTAAAGATTCCATACCTTTAAAAAATTTCAGCTAGCTAAAAATAATCGTAAGTTGGGAAATATGTGCCTGGCATCGAAGGAAGGACGGCAGTGGGAGAAGCCACTCCTCGATTTTGTTCAATATCGGTACCGTTGATGTGCACACCTTGGGGTACAGAACTAACCAATGAAGTGAAGCATGGTTCTTTCAGTTGTGAATTTTCCTTAAAATTTTTAAAATCACGAAAAATTAAGAAAGTTTTAAAAATGAAAGAATAACTGTAAAATTAATCATAATAAATAAGATATGGCACAGTAAGTTTCACCAATAGAAAATCCACTGGTAATTAGAAAATGTTAGACGTAATGATATATTAATGGACATGACGCACAAACTCTATACAAAGATAAACTTTGATGAGCAAAAGATTAGGTAGAAAAGATGAGTGGAAGTTACCAGTTAACATCCTTCTTGCAAATAATCACTTAAATCGTCTTTTTTCAAAAACAGTGGTTGAAATTTTCTAAAGTAAAAAACCTTTGCATGTCCCCTACTATACTTACTTAAAGCCAACATTTATGAAAGGATAACAAAGATATGAAAAAATCTTGCTAATATAGATTTCCTGTACAGCGATTGACAGTAAAAAAGATCGATTAGTGATTAGTACCAAACGATCGTCAGTATCAACAAGGTAAGTTTCGCCGGTAACTGATAATGGACCCTCATCTAGATGCTTCAGCAGAAACGTCACGTAACGTGAATGCGTACCCCTTTTCTTTAACATTTCAAGCGGTCGATCTAACGGTGCCAAACTTCTTTCCTAAATCAAAATGTTTACAAATAATTTCTGGAAAGAAATCGACAAGTTTCTAATCGGAGAACTAGCATATCAAATAATGTCTCCTCTACAATGTTCAGCATTGTATCCAGAGAATTCAGCTAAGTCTCCGGCAAATCTTTTATACGCCAAATTAGTGCTTAAATACTTACCGTATCTCGAAATTTTTCAATTAAAACGAAACGGCCCTTCTGTCCAGTAGCATGGGCAAGAGCATAAATAATTTGAGCGCATGTCGTGCTATTCGTTATTCCGGAAACACTCCGTTCGATCCCATCTACGATGACCCTTATTTCCATTCCGTTCAGTGCTGCAAATGACAATCACGTAGAAAAAAAAAAGCAATAACGAATTCTAATTCAATGTAACTTTGTTCTGATGACTTTAGTAGCATCTTCTAAATCACAGGTGACTTTGATTACTTTGATCCCCTAAATTATATTATATCTTACACTTAATAAAAAAAAATACGTATTTTTGAGAAATTAAAACAAAGTTATGACAATTCACATTGCTGAGCAAAAAAAAGCTGTGAAAAATTGGCGTATTCAGCGCATGTGCGCATGCATGTATGTGTATGTGCCTGTCGTCTGTCTGTCCGTCTGTATGAATGTATGTTAGGTCTGTCTGTCCGTCTGTATGAATGTATGTAATTTCTCTTGATGATCTAAAAAAGGAAAGGAAAGAGGTTGACGTGACGGATAACAGTAATAATGCTTTACTGAAACTTTCGGGAAAAGTAATATTTCGCGATAAAGATAGATTCTCCTTTAAATTAGCTCTTTTTCCTCCCAGCAGTTATAGTTGTCTTTCCTTCCCAATGCAAAATGGAGAAAATGTTTACCCCAAATGAAACTCAATAATCCAGTACTCGTACAAACGTGAAATGAACTGTCACGTAGAATGAAAACTTAGTGATTGATACAAACCGACAAGTTGTTTATCTAAACAATACAATGAAATATCACGTCGATCTCAGCCGTATAGTCCTGACTCCGTCCACGTCTGCGTGTCTACACGTGTGTATGCATGTCTGTCCATTTGTTTGTTTATTTGTTTGGATTTGAGTAGGTGGGTATGTTCTGAAAAGGGGCGGAAGTATGGATGATGATACGAAATGGATAAACAACCGTTTAAAGGAAGTGTTTAAGGATGCAAAGGGGAAGAATGAGAATGACAAGTTCGAGAGTGTACGGAGAAAGGTGAGACTGGCAGACGTGATAGGCGACACTGAACATTCTCGCATTCAGGTTTTGTGATCCGTCGTCAATTAGTTTGTTTCGATGACAATGGTGAAAAGTTTATTCAAATTTTTGAATGAACACATATATGCGATAATAACATTGGCATAGTTTAACTTTTCAACGTTGAAATTTCGTAAAAAAGTTCACGACTTGCTTGCTTATCCTACACATTTTCACGTCTGTCTTTACAGATCGCTGTCAGTTCATAGGTATTGTATACCTGTGTGTGCGCGTACGTGCGTGCTTGCGTGAATCCGTACGCTGTATTGAAAACGTTCAACGTTTATGTGTCATACCGAAAGAAGATGCAGTTATAGACGTATCGGTGTTATACACAACTTTACTATCCGTACTGCTGCTGGATAGTGACTAGTTCTCTGACTTCATGTCATTATCAGGAAGAAAACCAGAAAATACGGAAATAAATTGCGACGGAAGATTCTAGCCACTATCGCTTATGCCTATTTTTGCTAACAATTTGTTGAAAATTGCTCGAAATAGAAATAAACTCAAATGATGAAATTAAATAATATATTTGTCACATATTGTGCAGAATGTTGCATTTGCAACAGTAAAGACTATTTGTATAGAACTGATCAAATGTACAATGGTAAGTACAACATACAGACTAGTAATAACAGATAAGCACATGGTCTTAGTGAATTACATGATTTTTAAATTCAAAACGATATCAAAGAGACATTTTACTTTCCAAAATCTATGATAAAAAGGAAAAAAAAAAGCCTCTCGGAAACCGTTTTCTGATGTAACTTCATGTAGACTTCTAAAGCAAGTTATAAATGATAAAAGTACTATGAATAATTGCTAAAAATTTTCTCAGCTATAAAATCATTCTTTGTAATATTCTTCACTGACTGGAATTAATTAGGATGAAATTAAATTTGGTGAAATTAAATGCAGCAAATCTAAATTGACAGCTAAAATTTCACTCTATTATGCGCATGGAAAACTCTGCCAAATTCGATAAAGTATTATCCTTAGCAAATTTGGAACGAAAAAAACACAAGTAACGAATGAATAGTTAATTGGACAGTTGACAACAGTTGTAATTAGAACTTCCAAGCAGGTCTCTTCAAGTCATCCTTATTACCTGAAGAATTGGATGAACCAACAGATGACGAAGTGGCTTCTTTTTTGGGACGCAATGATGGCTGACGTCCAGGTGAGCTTCGTCTATGCTCCTCAGTCAACGAAGATCGTTCGAAATCCGGAGAGAGCAGACTTCTGCAAATAAAACTGCAGCAGTAGCAGCAGCAGCAGTAGCAGTAATAGCAGCATTCCAGAAACTTAGGATATTTTCATCTTAACAGGTGAAACAGAAAATGACAGCACTGAAAATGTAGATCCTAATCTGAACTTGTTGCTTAAATGTATTATGAATTACCTTTTGTCCTCTTTTTGCTTTATTACATCTACTGTTGGTGATTTTGACTTTGTAAGACTTCGTTCATAAAGCCGGCCGGAATAACTGGGTGACTTTGGCCTTGGTATACCAGTTGCGCAATGACTAAAATGAGGAAATTATTCAATTGAAAAACTAAAGATTGAAATTGAAATTACTCATCTTAATGTTAAAAACTAGATGGATGAATTTATATGATGTTTTAATTTTTGATCTTCAAAATTAGATCTAAATAATGGTTATAAGTAAATATGGAGTAAAAAATTAGTATGGAACCACTAACTTTACTTTATCCTTTTCACTACTTTCTTTTTCCTTCTTTTTTTTGCTCTTGGTAAGCTCTTGCTTACCACTTTTCGAGTTACTTTTAGCTTGTCGTTGCGTTTCAGTAAGTAAAATTTGCAAATTGCTTGTAATTGTTTGATTTTTGGAAGCTTCACCAGCCGTAAAACTGTTCTGAATATGTGAAGAAAAAAATTCTGCTTTGAAAGTAAGACTGAATAACTGAATTTAAGGTATAAATTTTCAACCAAAATAATTCTCTATCACTTAAGAAGGTTTATTCCAGTTTTATGTTATTGTATTAAAATCGAAATGTATACAAACATATTACAATATAATAGTATTAAAGAAATAACCAACCGATCTGTTTTTTTTGTCCTCTATTTCGGATTCTTGTAAAATTTCTAGAGCTTTTTGCAGCTGAGATATAAGAGCATCTTTTTCCTAAATAGTTAATGAGCAAACTTTTTAGATGCTTAAGTTTAATAAGAAAACTTGATTGTTAATCAGAAAACTTGAGTATCATGAAACTGCCAAATAGCTTCTAACCTTTGAGCTTTCGAAAGTTATTTATGTACTATTTTGAATAAATAGTAAACAAATACATAAAAATATTATCTCACTCCAAGTGCTTTCTGCAACTGTTGTATTTGCTCGTTTAATTCCGGATTTATTTCACTCGTTCCTGCTTCATTTTCATCTTCAATATTTGTTTGTATCCCATGTGTGCCAGTTTCAGGTCTGAATTATTGTTGCTAAGCAGCAATGCATATTATTTTCAGAAAAAATGCGGTGACAAAGCACCGATATATCAAATTCTGATAGATTTTTAATTTACCTTCATAGACAATTCAATGAAGATCTGAAAAAAAAAAAAGCAGCTAATAAAATATTGGTAAAAATCCAAACTTATTTGTAAGCTGTTGTTGAAGCTTCTGGTACTTGTTAACCAATTCTATTTCATGTTTCTTCATCATTTCGATCGTTTTTTCGTGTTCCTTATTTAAATTTACTATTTTTTTCTCAAGAATCTGAGCTTGTTGATTTTCTCGCTTCCTGATAAAATTTAAAATCACCATCATAAATTCTTACAGTTACATATCGGACTAGATAATCTGTTACTTATTTTTAATGGAATTTTGAATTATTGATTATTAAATTAAGTCAGTTTTTACCTGAGATATTCGTCCGTTTTTTTGCTGAAGTTTTTGATTTCCTGATTTTTCTTTTCAAGTTCATTATGTATCGCACTTATTTCATCCATTAATTTCTTATTTTTATCGGATAGCTCTGTTATTTGTTTTGTTTTTTGGCTGCAGTCATTTTTCAAAATATTCATATTCGCTTCTAATTCTTTATTCTGGAAATTCTATCAGTTAATTAAGCGACAGAAATTTTTTTTTTTCTTGAAGTTTCAACGTTTTGAAAACTGAAGCTAAGAACAATGAAGTACTGCGAAAATCCCAGAAAGTTCCTAGCCTTAAGAATTTCAGAAAGTATAAAATGCATTTTTAAAATCGTAGATTTAATTTACTAGCACTCAAAAAAAAAAAAAGCAACCTTTTCATTGGCAGTGTTTTTGGCTTCGTTAATTTCCATTTCATATCGGGATGTTACTTTCAATGTTTCTTCTTCAACTCTTTCTTCCAACTGTGCTTGAAATTCTTCTGAAATTGTTCATGAACTACTTGATAATTGATTGAGTCATAATAATTCAAGCACTGGAAGAGTTGAACAATGAGAATAATAAATGAATATTGCAGTCATTTCCAGACTTCACAGCATTTTTGACCAATGCAAAAAAAAAAATTCCGAAAAATTCCAAGTCTAATTAAATTACGTTATTATTTAATATACTACAGAGAGTGTCAAAAAAAATTTTTTTTCATACCTCGCAAACGCCTCTCACTGATTTCTGAGATTTCTATACTTTGCCATTTCTGACTAATTTCATCAGTCATTCTTTGCTCCACATCGGATCTCTTGAAAAGTTTGCTTTACTTTCTAAAGTTAAAATAAAAAGGGAGAAAAAAAAAATTAATATTACATAAATGGATCAATGAATCAAAAATATGTCACAAAAAAAAAAATATTCATAAATTGCATAAATCATTCTTCTGAGGCGACATATGCTGATTGCGATTACAAGAAAGGATTAAATTTACTCAAGCAAATTGCAGAAAAATAACATACCATTTGTCCACTGTCTCTAATGTCACTTGAATCTTGAGCATTCGAATACCTGAGCTGGTTTATTAACTTCTCGTTTTCAGACTTTAATTTCATTAAATTTTCATTTAAAATTACCACATCTTCTCGTTCAGCTAAGAGTTCAGCAATCTAAAGTAAT